GCCTGTATACTACAGGTGAAAGTTAGAACTGATTGAGACTATCTTCTCTGTAAAGTCGCTCTTGGAGAAAAGCTAAATGCACAAGTAAGTTATAAGCTGTTGTTGTTTTGGAACCATACAGACTAACAACATCTGAATTATGGTTTACATCCATGCTCCACAGGAAATCAAACCGTTATCCTAACCGATATATAGACGTCTACTTGATGGGCATGTAGTGTTTGTTTGTTTCTGGCGCCCATACAAGATACATGCATGCATGGCAAGAACTCTACCAACTTTGGTTGGATCATGGAGTGCGTGTACAGTGTTCAGAGGAGCGCCATACAATTATGCTTTTTGTACACGCCGCCTCACATTTTCCCTGCGCAAGAGCAGCAACCGAATAAAATACGCGGACAAACGATACAAGGTGGAGAGGCAGCCCTCTTACAAAGCAGTTCCCGAGATAGCCGGATCACGCAGAAAACTACGCTACCCAAGGATAACACAGGGAAGTCTAGATACAACACCACGCTACATTTTGGTTGCATGCATGCTTCCAAAAAAAATCATAAAGCAATGTGCGAAATCAACAGCAAATTGATTGACGTGCAGCGCAGCGTGGCTACGTGGTGGAGACTGTTCATTGGTCAGATGCCGGAGAACCCCTGGCCAGCATGGAAAACTACAGTACTAATAATTTTTATTGTTTCTTGGCTAGCCAGCTAATTAATCTCAGTTTGCATCTTCAGCTTGAACCCACCAAAACTTGTCCGAAGAAGCAGTAGAGTTCACATCTCTTAAAACCGGTTGATGGTCACCTTCTTTTACTTTTAGGCTTTTAGCTATGTCTTTTCCGAAACTTTAGTCCAGACACCAAAAGAGAGGCGCGAAAAAGTTACGTGCTTTCTTTATCGTTTATGTCGACCCCTATGGACTGTTAATCTCTATATGATTAATCAAAAATCTAATCGCATGATTAGACGGATCCATGACGAGACAGCTCCGATGCCGTACGATAAGTAGCCGGCCATAGCTTGCGCTCGCTGGCTTCCTCGCGGAAGATCAATCTCGCACAAAGATGCGTCGGCGTCCCTGCTGTCTTCGTCTGTGTGATTGGGATGGAACAACTTACATTACATTACACGGGCTATCTCGCGCAGCACACACGGACGCATCATCAGCAAAAAACAAACACTTGTGTCGCCTATCAACAGATCGATCAATGCGACCAAACAATAATTATACCCCATGATTAACTCCCACGTTTCTTTTATGATTTCAGATCGGTCACATCACCTTGATTTCGGTTTAAGTCCATTAATTTGCCTTACATTGCAAAAGGAAATTGCCTGCATGTGCACGGTAGTATAAAGGGTGTAGTGTGTCACGTCACCCGTCCGTCTGCCCAAGTTATGCTATAGCTGCGCGCCATGAAATTACATGCATGCTTTTTTTTAGGAGAAATTGCATGCATGTTGCTCAGTCTTGATCAAGCAGACACCCCAATGTACGGTGCAAGTATGTACAACTTGCATCCCATCCATCATCACGACACACCCTCGTGCGCTACTCAATTAGTGCCATTGTTAGGTGCATGTACTAAATCTTGCATTCGTGCATCCGTGGGTGAGTACATGCAACTTGCAGGCACATACTACATATGCATGTGTAGTGATCATATAGGCATGCATCTTAACTTAATCGTCCGTACAATTTTGTCTATTAATCAGTTAACTAATTCCCGACCGAATAATAGCTATCAGGTGTGCATGTCATTCCCAGCTACATGTTGCTTGTTTTTTTTTTAGGGAAAGCCGTCATGGCAGTTTATATTTCATGCGCAAAAAGTGATACATCGTTTGTTAATACATCTACTAGAAACCCCAGAGGCTCCGATTTCCAAACAATTGTATGAGAGACCTCCGAGTTTCTAGCCAATAAATCTGCCGCCGCATTGGCCTCCCTAGGGCAGTGGGAAAACATAATAGAAATAAAATTTCTAGCAAGAAAAGAACATTCTTCATAAATTGCGGCTGCCGGGCCTAGCGAATTGCAAGCCTCCTAATGTTTTACACTGCAAGGTTTATAACCCATGCGTCCAAGTGTCTTGCTCGAGAAGGTCTCTAGTAGGACTTGACCCCGCGGCAGCGCCTCCTTGGTGAAAACTCTAGGGCGAACTCCTAGCCCGGCACCACCGATCCACCACACCTTCCCCTCTATCCCCTCATAACCGTCAAAGGGTGGTCGAAAGCAAGCCCGCTTGGCACCGATGAAGGGGCGCTGAGGCTCTCGATGGTCCGTCTTGCGTGGAGGGTATGGATGCAAGTCGTGGACATCAGCCTCGGGTGGAGATGGTGTCGCTGATAGTGGGGTTGTGGCGTATTGGCTTGCCCCACAAGTATAGTGTCAAAGCTGAAGAATAGACGTGACGTAGTGGTGCTCACCTATCTCAGTTGGCTCCAAATCATAGAAGCCTTCAGTCTCATCGGATCTAGGTGTTGGTTGAGATGAATGGTGCAGCAAAAACCCACATCAACGATGATGCGGTCTTCGTCTCCTTCCATGGAGGGTTGGAATTTTTGTATGTTATACCCATTCTCTCCAGACGACATCATTTTCGTTTGCAACCGAGTCTTGCAACTTACATCTTTTGTGTGATTTGAAATGATAGTGATAGTGGTTTTCGTAACAAGCTCAACTTATGTGATGGGCATTCCTGAAGTCCACCCATGGCAGCTTGGTTGCTAATAGCTTATTTGGGTTCTAGGGTGAACCACTCCGAGCGTCGGCAGTGGTGCCCCTTCAAATCAGGGCGACAAAGCAAAGCCCTGTTTGGCTACATAGATGGATGGTGTTGTTTGGCCAGACGGTG